GAGTGAAGAACATACATTGGGTTGTTAGGTGTCTTGTGTCCAAACTTGGTGTCAATTCGTCGTTGTTTTTGAGTTCTGTTAATCCCACAAATGAACATTACATTTTTATTTATATAGATTTCTAAGCTGCTCTAGGAGCCGTTTTGGCTGAAGGAGTGAAAAGTGAATTAGCGATATGAATCATATCCTCCCGTTGCAAATGACAACGTCTCTGAAAGTACATGAAAGGAGCTGCCCATAAGAAGGGGCCATTCCTAGTGGCTGGACTCCGCAAGCAGTCTCATGAAATAAGAGGACAATAGAGACATAATGTCCCTTGAGTACCTATTAGCTGTTTACCAGTCATCTATCTTCCAGACCATTAGGAAGCTTTTGCAGAGAATGCTTAGTGCAGAGCAGTTCAAAAGAAACTACATTACAGGGATACTATTAGAATCATAGAATCAAAGAGTTGGAAGAGACATCATGGGCCATCCAGTCCAACCCCCTGCCAAGAAGCAGGAATATTGCATTCAAATCACCCCTGACAGATGGCCATCCAGCCTCTGTTTAAAAGCTTCCAAAGAAGGAGCCTCCACCACACTCCGGGGCAGAGAGTTCCACTGCTGAACGGCTCTCACAGTCAGGAAGTTCTTCCTCCTGTTCAGGTGGAATCTCCTCTCTTGTAGTTTGAAGCCATTGTTCCACGTCCTAGTCTCCAAGGAAGCAGAAAACAAGCTTGCTCCCTCCTCCCTGTGGCTTCCTCTCACATATTTATACATGGTTATCATTATTTGTTCTTACTCAGGGTGACCGAAGTTGGGAATTTTACCCCCTTGGGGTGGTAAGGGGTGTTTGACGGACTGCCCTCTGAGCCCACAAAATGAGAGTAAAGATAGGAGATGTGATATGCCATAGCTGGGTCATGAAGGCACAAGGCAGCCCCATCCTGTGTCATATCAGAGGATGGGGGATTTAACGGCATTAGTCCACCTTCTAGATTCACTGTAAATATTGAAAAGTTAATGCACATCTATTGCTTAAAGCAATAGATCTTCCGGGAAGGCCCTCCTCTCGGTCCCACTACCTTCTCAAGCACGGTTAGTGGGGACGAGAGAGAGGGCCTCCTCAGTGGTGGCCCCCCATCTCTGGAACACCCTTCCAAGGGAAATAAGACAGGCCCCATCCCTCCCCTCCTTTCGTAAGAGCTTGAAGACCTTTGAAAATGACCAGTTCTAACTCAGCCCTACACATTGTCGAATACAGCCTTATTCTTCCTACCAATTACCTAGATCATTTCCTCTAATTGGCCCCGGAATGAACAGCCACAGACCCGTACCTAATATTATTGTTGCCTGCCATAGCATTGCACTTAATTACCATGCCCAGCTCTTTAAGCTGCTCCTCATAGGGCTTGTTCTCCAGACCCTTGATCGTTTTAGTCGCCCTCCTCTGGACACATTCCAGCATGTCAATATCTCTCTTGAATTGTGGTGCCCAGAATTGGACACAATTCTGGGGTGTGGTGCTCATCTCCATTTCTAAGTCAAAGAGCCAGCGTCACAACTACAAGGCTGAGTGGGGATGCAAACATTTCTGTAACCAAGCTATTTATACTGTCCTATTCTACAGAGATGCAAAAAGTGCTTTCCAAGCCCTCTGAGATATAATTATTAGCTATGACTCAAGGATTCCATTATGGCAGATCATATCCAGTTGGGAAATGTAAAAGGCCTGAAAGGTGCTGCAGGGATGGTTTAACAGCGTCCTGCAGACATCTGGTTGGCTTTGTTGTTGTTGTTCATTATATCAGTTGTTTCCGACTCTTCGTGACTTTATGGACCAGTCCATGCCAGAGCTCCCTGTCGGTCGTCACCACCCCCAGCTCCTTCAAGGTCAATCCAGTCACTTCAAGGATACCATCCATCCATCTTGCCCTTGGTTGGCCCCTCTTCCTTTTTCCTTCCATTCTCCCCAGTATCATTTTCTTCTTCAAGCTTTCTAGTTGGCTACTATAGGGAAAAAACTAGCCCAGGTAGCCTGGAGTGGGGAATAGTGCAACCCACTGAGCAAGTGGCCCTTTGGAGGTTCCAATATGCTACTTGAGACTAGGGTTGTCACTATAAAAATTGGAAAGAGCTACAATGGTTGGATAGAAGACAGCATTTCAGTAGGTGTTGTGCATCACTAAGTAGGTAAACAATGACATCTGCTGAAACTCTTCTTCTACACAACCATTAAAAGTGGAGAAGCCCACCCCAATAAACAAACTTTCAACTGACAACACACTCCCCTCTTTCACCACAAAGAGTTTCAACAGATTTTAAGAAGGCTGCTTCAGTTCAACCCTGCTCCCTGGCCATCCAAAATCATAGGTGTGATGCTTGGTCCTCCAGAATTACTTAAGCAGTCTAAATGGAGCCAGAAAGGCAATTGCGCTCTAGAGTTTGCCAAACCCTGTGGTAGGCCTTCTTATCAGAACCAACTGCATAGTAGTTGGTTCTGATAAGAAAGGTGTGGCTCCAGCACTATCTACTGGACAAAGACATTCATTACACAAAGGAAGCTTCCTTCAACATCTCCTGCAAAATGAAAGAAATTGGGGAGGCTTCTGCGGAAGGCTATGTCTGTTTCAGGACGGATAATGTTTAAAAATAGGAAGATTCATAATTCAACAGAACAGAAGTCAAGGATTGCGCTACATCTAGGACAAGTGTAAAAATGTTTTCTCTTATTGAATACCTATTTTTCTCCATTCCTACCCAGTTGATCATCCTTGACAACATGTGGTAAAATTACTCTTGCTATTACAGCTTTCATAACCGTTCCTTGTCAACATGTCCTGTAATGATGACAAAGGGTCCTCATTATGAACCCACTCGATCTCTTCGATCATCTGGAGAGGCCCTGCTCATGATCCCACCTGCGTCGCAAGTGCGTTTGGTGGGGAAGAGGGACAGGGCCTTTTCTGTGGTAGCCCCCTGACTCTGGAATTCTCTCCCCAAGGACATCAGACAAGCCCCAACGTTGGCAGTCTTTAGGAAGAGCTTGAAGACGTGGCTGTTCCAGTGTGCCTTTCCAGAATAGGAAACTCCCAGCATCATGTCCCAAATGCACTTTATTAGAGATTTAAGATTGCACACCGCACCTACCTTCAAAAACCTATACATGTCACCTGCCATGTCCAGCACTTTTTAAATTTTATCCATTACATTTAGCCCGGCCTTAGTTTTAAATGCGTTGTGGTGTTATTGTTCTAATGTTTTTGTTATTGCTTTAATGTTTATTGTTTTGCTTTATGAGTTTTATTGTTGTATTTGTTATGCTGTTGTTTTATTGAGGGCCTTTGCCTTTTGTAAGCCGCACCGAGTCCTTCAGGAGATGTTAGTGGGGTATAAATAAAGTTAATAAATAAATAATAAATAAGTTGCAGCCCTTAAAAGTTACTTTTCTAACTTCTTTCTTAGTCAGATACTAAATTAATTAAGACAGTTGCATCTGTCAAGTAGGAAATTTAGGTACTGTGGGGAGGCTAATTTACGACACCATAAAAATCTCCAGCAAGCATGCAAAGAATGAGGAAGTACTTCATCAGTGTCACAAATGGACGGTGAAGCGACAGCTCCCCTGGTGGCCAGAATACCCTCATGAAAAAGCTGGAATATTAAATGTGTGCCTGCCTATATATGTTGGGTGTCTATGGCATTGAATGTTTGCCATGTATATGTACACTGTAATCCACCTTGAGTCCCCTGTGCGGTGAGAAGGGCGAAATATAAATAATATAAATAAATAAATAAACAGATGTGTGAAAACTGCTGAATTTGCACACTGACATTGTCTTCCAACTGATTCTTGCCTTTTCAGTGCAGGAAAGAACTGCTGGAAATAGTTCTTCTCATTTCAATCTATATAAATAAAAATGTAATGTTTGTTTGTGGTATTCACAGAACTCAAAAACCGTTGGACAAATTGACACCAAATTTGGACACAAGACACCTAACAACCCAATGTATGCCCTTCACTCAAAAAAAATTTGAGTTTGTCATTTGGGAGTTGTAGTTGCTGGGATTTATTTTAACTGCAACCTCCTTCTGCCATGATGTGAGTCTTGAGAGAGTTATTTCATACTTTCAGAATGGGAAAGCCTATACAATAGCGATGAGACCACTAAACATTGAAGTCATAAAGAAGGTCACCTGGCCAACTAGGGAACCTTAAAGGGCCAGATTGGTTTTTAACCCAGGGCCTAAGGTTCCCTATAGCTGTGATAACAAAGAGAAGGCAATTCCCACTGAAAGCAAGGTCTCCAAACATGACACTGTAGACCAGTGGTTTTCAACCTGTGGGTCCCCAGGTGTTTTGGCCTACAACTCCCAGAAATCCCAGCCAGTTTACCACCTGTTAGGATTTCTGGGAGTTGAAGGCCAAAAACATCTGGGGATCCCAGGTTGAGAACCACTGCTGTAGACAATCAGCACAGAAGCCCAAGTATAGTGGTACTTGTGACTTGGATGGAACGTTACCAGGAGCTTGTACTTTAAGAGCTTCTTCAGATGACATGGAACTGACAATAATTTCCCATCCAATCTCTCAGAGACCAGTTTCATATTTGTCCCATTGTCAAAAACTCTTTCTTTCTTGGACACTCTGCCAGGGACCTGCAGCTGACTGTTTATGGACTAACATCAACCCAAGGAGCCCTGCAGGGGATACTACTTTACAGAATACCCACATTCCAGGAACACAGGTACTTTGAATTGTCCTTGAGTACAAAGAACGAGTGAAAGGATGCTCTGAATTTATGCCAATTGATAACAATCCTTGGTTCACACTTTCTGTAAGCCAAACCCTTTGTGAGATTGCATGGTCAAATGTTATCAATGGGAACAAAATGGCAATGAGACCTTGACCAGAGATCCCAACATCCGCTCTATAATACTTTATGTTACCTGGCTGAATCCTTCTTCCCTCAGAGTAAGTGTCAGAAAGACTGCAAAACAATGGCACTGCTAAGCAAGTAACAAAGTATTTATATTTTAATTGGCTAATATTCTCTTTCCCTATTGTTTCTGTGTCCATCTGTCCCCCAGCCCTGGCCCAGACAAGATAGTTATAGCACCACAATCTCCAGTTACTATATGAATTGACCTGATGCTGTTTGAACTCTCCCCTGCCCCTAGTACCTGAGAACACTGACAGCTGCACATCAGAACTAAAACCTTTTGAAGTCTCTCAACATTTGTTTTTTGAAAGCTGCCCCATGTTAACACTGTGGGGTGGATCCTTCTGCACCAGGTAGAACACATCACATCTCCAGCTGTGTATGTGCAACAAAGTGTCCTCAGCTGATTTGGGATCCACCGTGGGGCAATAAATAAAGTGGTCCACAGTCAGGATCAGGTAGCCTTCTGGTCCGGATGGCTCTTTAGTTTGTGGAACTTGACACTGTCTAGCTTCTCAAAGCGCTTTCCACAGTGTTCACAAGTGAAGTTGTACTGTACTTCTGAGGTATGCTTCTTCATATGCCAGTTGAGAGAGGCCCGCTGCCGGCACTGGTAGCCACAGATCTCACACCTGCAGAGGGAAGAAGCCATCAGCCCTGTGCATTCCTAGGAGCAGAGAGCTCATATCCCCAAACAATGCCACCCCTTTGGGCAGCCCAGCCTACAGAAAGCAGCCATGGTGATCCCTTAAGAAACACGTGCCAAACTCCAGGCCCAAGGTCCAATCCGGCCCTCCATGTCATTTTATGTGGCTCTCCAAATGCTGGACTACAACTCCTGTGTTCCTCCTCCTTCTTGTTAGATATAATGACTAAAGCTGATGGGAGTTGTGATGCAGCAACATCTGCACAGCTGCAGTTTGTTCTGTTTAGTCAGAATACTTTGGTTTGGATTTAAATAAGATGTCTAACTTTAAAATGTTCTTTAACCTTTCCCAACCTCAGAGAAGCAAGTTTTGTTGGACTGCCATTCCCATCATGCCCAGTCCACATGACAGGTAATCAAAAGTGATGGGAGTTGTCATTCAATCACATCTGGGGACCCAAACTGGGTAAAAACTAAAGAACACTGCCCACTAAGTAAAGGAAATATGTAATTGGCCCTCTGTATCCATGGATTTTTCATGGCCCTTTGAAGGCAACCATAAGGTTGATATGGACTTCAATGAAAATGAGTTTGACATGCCTACTTAAGTAAATCACAGCATGTCTGGCAGCGACTTGCAACACTCTCCCCCTCCCCCCCAAATGTGGTATAAGACAAAAGAAACTTATGCAACTAACAGGGCTAGCGGTTTCCACCAACTGAGGGGATTATTGTTGTTCCCACGGACAATTTTAACGTCTGACTTTAAGTAAAGCCCAGTCTGCCAGGTTAGTTCATTGTTTAAATCTAGCCTACAGCGTTTAAGCAATGATACATTCTATACAAAGCTATGCAGTAATGATGTGACTGCAACAAATAACCTACATACATTTCAGTTAGATGTGTAAAGTACTTATGGAAGCCATTCTTTAATATCAAATATTATATGTACAAAGTAACATAACAATCAGAAGTTCATTCAGTTCCTATATTATTGTTGTTCTTGTTGTTGCTATTATTATTATTATTATTATTATTATTATTATTATTATTATTATTTACATGTACATAACATCTCAGCAAACATGCACATTAGGTCTGAAATTCATCTCTGACTATTGGGCTCTTCCTAAGGGCCTAGGATAATTAGAAGTATTTTTGTAGAAAGTGCACCATTCTGACAAGTTATGCCTTCTGCAGCATATGGATTGATGTTCTGTTCAAACTACGACTTTTCAAGTGCTTTTCGACGTTTTTTGGAATGCCTCCAAGAGCACCAACCACTATTGCTGAGTGTTGTTGTTGTTATTAGTATTATGGGGCTACAAAATGGAATCCATGACATGCGAGTGTGGAGAAGAGCAAACCACAGACCACCTGCTGCAATGCAACCTGAGCCCTGCGACATGCACAATGGATGACCTCCTTGCGGCAACACCAGGGGCACTCCAAGTGGCCAGCTACTGGTTAAAGGACATTTAATCAACTACCAAGCTTGCAAATTCTGTGTTTTGTCTGTTTGTTTATTTTGTTAAAAATGTAATACAAATGTCTGGTTGCTGATGACACGATAAATAAATAAATAATAATAATAATAATAATAATAATAATAATAATTATTATTATTATTATTATTATTATTATTATTATGTGTGTGTATTTTAACCAACCACCTACTTTCAATGCTTCCTTTCTCTCAGGAATGGAAACACGAAGCCATTTTATGGTACCCCTCCTCCTACCATCTTGATTGGCTCTATTCTGTTTTGTTAGTCTTGGTGCCCTGGCCACATGTGTTGCAACCACAAGGTTACAAAGTGCTTTCTCTTGCCTCTCTTGAGCTCTTCAGTGGGCCAGAGAGGTCATCTGGTTAGGGAGAAAGGGGAGGAGAGAGAGAAGCAGGAAGAAGAGGAGAAGCACAGCCTTTTTAAAAGCTCTCTAGTTTGTGGAACTAGGATGTATAGAAAATGACAATCAAAAAGACTCAGCCCCATCTCTTGCCAAGCTTCCCAACTCACACAAAGACTTCATCTTAATGATCAGATGCTAGAGAATAACTCAGCCATAAGAGTCTACTATTCATGTCCCCATGCCCCATCACTCACTGAAGAGGCGTCTCTCCTGTGTGGGTTCGTCGATGGACTTCCAGGTGGTTTTTCCGCTTGAAGGATTTCCCACAGGTCTCACAGGTAAACTCACGGACTCCTAAGAGAAACAAAAGAAGTGAGCCCATTTCTGGGAGGGAAGCATCTTATATCAGGGCCTCTGTTCCAAAGACCAGTCTGGGCAAAAGGCAGTAAAGCTGCACTGCCAGTAATGTAATAGAGTGTCAAAGCAATAGGAATTCAACATTTCAATAGGCTCCTATCAATGTTGGTATCTCCACTGAGAAAAAGTTAAGACAATGAATATTTCAATTGATGCAACTGCTTCCACTCAAGACCTGCATGACACGACAGATGATGCTGGGCCAATAGCATTAACAGAGAATCTAACAGATTACCTAACACAGTGGTTCTCAACCTGGGGTCCCCAGATGTTTTTGGCCTTCAACTCCCAGAAATCCTAACAGCTGGTAAACTGGCTGGGATTTCTGGGAGTAGTCGGCAAAAAATATCTGGGGACCCCAGGTTGAAAACCACTGACTAACAGATTATGATTGTATACTCGTGGCATTTATATATTGAGGGAAAATAGCCTCTTTAACCATTTCTGAGTGGTGACGGAGCAGGAGACATGGGCTGAGGAAATGGACCTCTGAAGAATCAGTATAAATAGGTTTAACATTGTATTGCAGATTTCTACACACACTTCAAATAACAGTGATTAAAAAGATAAATGACAGAAATCATTTCTACAAAACATGCTAAAATATTGCAGCATACTATTATTTTAATAGCACAAATAGAACAATAGAACCTGGGTGTAACTAGAAATGTCATAGCTCAAACATGGGCAAAATATGCTAAATTTTCAAGAAGTCCTGAAAGTTTGTAGAATAGAGAAAGAAAAAACAAGCACGAGGTCAACACTCTCCCTTGCAGGCAGCTGCAAATATTTTTGTTTAATTTATGCGAATATTAATTTCTTACTGGACATCGCAAGATCTCTGGGGATGAAATCTCAATTACACATTTTATTAAATGGGTTCAGCATTTATTATGTTATTGCATTTTCCAGTATTGTAACAAAATACTTTATTATACCAAATGTGTTCATTTTAAGAAGAATACAAAAATGCCTGCTTCAGAATGGCAACTTTAGTGTGCTAATAGACCGACAGAGGTTAGTTCATACTGTGAACAAATTTTCCTATACTGGATACAGAGGATGTTGCATCTGTGTTTTCTGTAATTAACAAGTTATTACAAACTTGCACCCTCAATAAATGTCCCTCAATTTCTTCTAATCTAACAAATGTAATCTGGCTTCACCTAACTGGCTGACTTTTAGTACCAGCCCTTGAGGGCTGGATAATTCAATGATCAAATAATGTGTTTCAACTGAAATCTTTTTCTAAGAAGGCATCATTCCACACATATTTTGTTTCTGCTTTAACATAACAGAGATTTTGAATATTGCAAACCACATTTATTAACTCGCCTTTGGCGAGTAGATGTAGAACACAATACTATTGCTCCCCTCAACGCTTCTGCCACTGGAGTACACGCCCCCCAATTGGGAAGTTTCGTTTCATAACTCTGTTTGTTTTTATGAGATCCCTGCAAATAACCTACTCCTATTTTTATCTCATTTGAATCTTTTAATTGTCTTATCCTGTACATGTGGCCCGCCCACTGTTATCGTGACTGTGTTTATTGGAATTTTTTTTCCTATGTAATTTTGATGATGTTGTTTGTTGTTTATGTTTTTGGCTTTATTCTGCTGTAATATGTTGTGTGGGCTTGGCCCCATGTAAGCCGTACCGAGTCCCCACTGGAGAGATAGTGGCGGGGTATAAATAAAGATGATGATGATGATGATGATGATGATGATGATGATGATGATGATCTCATACTGAAAAATTTCCTTCTTCCAATTCTTTCTTCTACAGGTACTCTTTCTCTTCATCCCAAACCCAAATTTAGCTTCTTTTTCTTTCAAATGTCTTCTCAATTTGATGCTGTGTCTGCTTCTTCCATGGGTGCATTTGTAATTTCTCAAGTGTGGAGACCTTCTTTTGCCATCAGAGTGATTACATACATCCATTTATGATTTTTAATCTGGTATTACTTACACACACATACACACAAGTCCAAAATTATATATTACAAATATGTCCCAGAAAAGGCAGATTTAGAGCTACCATGACCCTTGAGCTCAAGCTATTTCAGATTATCTGGCTTGACAGAAAATACTGCTGACACAGTAACAAAACTTCCACCTGAGAATCTAGACAAAATACAGACAAAATACACCTGAGAATCTATGCTGCTTCTGAGTTTTAAAGTGCGTGATGGGAGACAGAAAAATGTATTAACGGGGGGAGAGGGGTCCTTACACAGTCTGGTAAAATAAGAGCTATTTATGCCAAAAATGAACTTAATACAGTGGGATGAATTCACACAAGAAAATAACCCCCTTAGTAACGTTTACACAAAAGAGAGTCAAGAGCTTTTAGAGACAAATTTTGATTGAGTGTCTTATAGGGACATGCCAGTGTTTAAAACCATTAACTTGGTTGTTCAGTTTTGAGGTCTCTCAACTGGCTTCCCCTGTTGATTCCTCTAGAATTCACTACTTAATGAATCCATCCCAGGTCTGGGGTTTGATGCCTGAATAAGCTCCTCTCTTTTATTCTAGGGGTAAAAAAAAAACCCTTCCTGCAGAGAGGCAAGGTCAGTAAGAAAGATCGCTAGCCTCACACCACTTGGGAATCACAGAACTGCAACAAGTGTGAAATCCTGCTTAGGGCCTCCCTATTTTCAATAATAATAATAATAATAATAATAATAATAATAATAATAATACTTTATTTATACCCCATCATCATCTCCCCAATGAACTCGGTGCGACTTACATGAGGCCAAGCCCACAGTACATCAGTAAACAAAGTCAATAACAAAAACAATCAATACAAAACAATTAATATAAATCACATAAACAAAAAATAAACAGTAACGGTAACACGCAAGCATTTAAAAATCTATGGCCGGGCCAAATGTAATAATTTAAAAAATTAAAAAATAATGCTGGGCATGAACAAGGTAGGATAACTGGGACAGAGATTTCAAAGAGAGATGAGGGAACGCAGTCAGTCCTAAATCCGTAGTAAAGTGCATTTTGAGGGCATATTGCTGAGAGTTTTCCTTATTCTGGGCTGTGGCTAAATAACAATGTAAGAGTTGGTCTCAGAACTACTCCAGTCTAAGCATCCAGAAAGGGAGGCAAAAAACATATAATGACCATGGAGCAGATGGCAATATACCTGAATGAATTATCATGTGCCTCCGGAGATGATTGGACAGATAGAACTTCTTGCCACAACCAGGGTGGGGGCACACCTTCGTCTTTCCTTTCCGATGAACAAGGTTGACATGATTCTGGAGAGAAAAAGAGAGAGATGGAATGAGCATTGTCCTTTCAGAAGTACCTTATTGAGCAAGTCTTGTCACCCCATCACAAAGGCATGGATTTAGCACTTAGAATACTCCAACTTCTAAGTGCTAGATCGATTATTGGAACACGGAATAAGGATAATGAGACTGGATTCTGATTCTAACGATGAGACGTGATGGATTTGTTATATTGATGTTTGATGTTTAATTAATTGTTATGCTATTGCTTTTAAATGTCCAATGACTTTGTACCGTGTATATTGAAACTGTTGTTGTTAACCGCTCTGAGTTGCCTAAGGGCTGAGAAGAGCGGTATACAATTGAGGTAAATAAATTCTCAATCATAGCCTTTATTGCTTTGCAAATAATTTCAGGAGTTACTATTCCCTCACAGATCATGTTCAGGCCTGTGATGAGATATCCTGCTCTGCTATTTGCTAGCTTTTCAACCATGACTGCAGATTAGAAATCAGAATGAAGGATATGTGAACCATACCTGGAAACTACTAAGTGCTACATAGACCTGGGTGCATCCCTCATAGGGACAATGGAACATCTCCAACATGCCATCTGCATCCATCACTCGGCCTCTTTTGCTCCGTCTTCTCCTAAAAGCAAGAAAGAAAACTGGCTTTACAAAATCCAAAACCATTGTTCCTAGGGTCACACACACATACAAACACATATCATATTTTAATATATATATCTCCAAGATGTCTAAAACTTGAATTCCCATGCACACTGCACATATCTTATCTGTAGTGCAGAAGAATGAAAGAACAATACAATATTTAAAATGAAGAACATTTTAAACATTTTTAATCAGTTTTTCAATGGGAAGTGTGCGTCTGTTTTTGGAGGATGAGATTGTCAAGTTAATTAGGATTGTTGTTGTGTGCCTTCAAGTCATTACAGACTTAGGGTCACCCCAAATCTAACATTTAGGGTGGGGGGTTGGATAAATGATCTTGGAGGGATGTAGTGAATCCACTACTAGTTAGGCTGAGAGAAGCCTAGGAAGAAGTAGGCCCAAGAGGTTCGGCAGCCAGCTTGGAAAGGGTGCCGGGGGAATCAATTTTGGTTACTCATTTTCCTGGAGGGGAGCGTTTAGCAGGAGCAGTTCTGGAGGGAAACGAGGGGAGTTTGCAATTAGCTGAGTGAGAGAGCAGACGGAGCCTAACTTGGAAAAAGGGGGGAAATGGTCTTTAAGGAGAGGTTTTTAAAACCCTGCCAGGGAGATTGGCTCTGGGTGTTGAACAGATAGGTTCTGTTGTTTTAGAGAGTCAGGTAGACTAAGGTTTTAGGAGGGGTAGGTTAGCCCTTTTTAGGACCCACTCTGCTCACCCCAAATGGGGAAGGGGCTAGAAAAGCACAGTACGTCACACATCAACAGCACTAGAAACACAACCATGATCCTCAGGATGATAGTAACTGCAAGCACACCAATATACCAGAAACAAGATAAATATTTCCACTGCCTATGTTCCAGAACAGTATCCAAAAGCAGCACCCATTTCCTTCCAGTGATTACAGCATTCACATAAGCAACAATTCCCTCCTGCTGCTCACTCACTTTTCAGGTTCCTTGGGAATCTCATAGATAATGGATGACATGTTGCTGCCCTCAGTTTCATCTTCAGGCTCAGGCTCTTGTTCCAGCTCCTCATTGTCATGGCATGCCTCTGGGTCACAGGGTGTCTCTATTTCTGTTGGGGGCTGCGGTTCCTCTTTTTTGAGTTCAAAGAGCTCCTCATTTTCTGCCAACAATCGCAAAACAAAATCACAACTTTGAATGCTGAAGCTCTCTGCATGGAGATTCCAGGGGCTTTACAAAGGTTGAAGTTTGGCATATGCAAATGCCACCCACAGGCAAATCTCTTTTTAAACAGCTTCCTCTGTAGGAACCAGGAAAGATGACCCACTTTCCAAAAAGATCAGAAACTCACAGGATTTATGGTTAGCCTTTTGAGCTTGGGCCTGATTAGCCCCACCTATTATAAAGTGATATGAATGAAAGTGCAAAGCAGAAGGAAGCAACCACAACACCACTACAAAAAGTAGTGTACACCACCACCCTTTTCATATGAAAGCTGTTATTGTGGCAGAAAAACCATAATTAGCTTCCAAGCACAATTCAAAGTGCTGGTTTTAACCTACAAAATCCTATATCAGGGGTCCTCAAACTTTTTGAACAGAGGGCCAGGTCACAGTCCCTCAAACTGTTGGAGGGCCAGACTATAATTTGGAAAAACACGAATGAATTCCTATGCACACTGCACACATCTTATTTGTAGTGCAAAAAAAAAACACTTAAAAAACCAATACAATAGTTAAAATGAAAAACAATTTTAACAAATATAAACACTAGTATTTCAATGGAAAGTGTGGGGCCGCTTTTGGATGATGAAATAGGATTGTGGTTGCTGCGTGCTTTCAAGTCATTTCAGACTTAGGTTGACCCTGAGTGAGGGCCGGGTAAATGACCTTGGAGGGCCATATCCGGTCCTCGGGCCTTAGTTTGAGGACCCCTGCCCTATACTGTTCCGGCCCAGTTTACCTGTCTGAACGTATTCTCCCCTATGAACCACTAAGAGTGTTAAGATCATCTGGAGAGGCACTGCTCTCAGTCCCGCCATCTTCGCAGTCGCGTCTGGTGGTGAGAGACAGGGCCTTTTCTGTGGTGGCCCCCCGGCTATGGAATTCCTTCCCGAATGAAATTAGATCTGCCCCCTCCCTCCTGACCTTTAGGAAGCTAGTGAAAACCTGGCTGTGGAACAAAGCCTTTGCAGAATGATGGATGAGACCGGTAATCGACCAAAGTATTGACCACAATATATGGACTGAATATACGGACTGAGTTGGACATGTTTTTTTATCTTGGCGAACGGCTTTTATGTATTTATTTTATATGTATTTGTTAATTTACTGTTGATATATGTTGTTTTAGATTTTTACTGTTTAGCATTGAATTCTTGCTGTCAGCCGGTCTGAGTCCCTCTACGGGACTCTTCTCTACGGAGGTAGAGAAGATTGGGAGATAAAAGTTTTAAATATAATAATATAATATATAATAAACACATCGTCCCCTGGGACCACAGAAAGACTACATGAAGTTACATTGCCAGAGAAAGTTCTTTTTCTCTCTCTCAGGACAGATGGCTAATAATCATCTACTAACTGGTGCACTAACTAAACTCTTAGCATCAAAGCCGCAATATTTTTCTTCCACTTTTCATGTGCTGAATATACAGTTCCAGAACACCCTTTTTATTTTTGAAACTCCGTTTCAGACAATTATATGCTTCCTAACAAATATACTTACAAAAGCAGAATTCTACTATGAATGCTTCACAAGCAATTGCTGATTATTTTGTAGCCAAGTTCCTAGGGAAGGATTTTGTTCCTTCAAGACTCAAAAGATGGTGAGAGAAAGTAATGAAGTGCTCTCCAGTTCTGTTCATAATAGGATACTGGTTTTACGTGTGTTAAACCTACTTACAGACAAGGCAACAAAAGCTGAGTTACTTCAGCAGAGACAGGAGATATACGCATATGCTCATCCATACAGTGTGGGATATTTTACTTGTTCTGGAGCTCCAGAGCCAATAAATCATTCAGCCCTCCCTGGTAAGCAGTAGGAATTGCCACTTTTGTGTAAAGGTAAAGGTTGTCCCCTGACATTAAGTCCAGTCATGTCTGACTCTGGGGTGTGGTGCTCATCTCCATTTCTAAGCCGTAGAGCCGGCGTTGTCCATAGACACCTCCAAGGTCATGTGGCCAGCATGACTGCATGAAGCGCCGCAACTTTCCTGCCAGAGCAGTACCTATTGATCTACTCACATTTGCATGTTTTCGAACTGCTAGGTTGGCAGAAGCTAGGGCTGACAGCAGAAGCTCATGCCGCTCCCCGGAATCAAACCTGCGACCTTTCGGTCAACAAGCTCAGCAGCTCAGTGCTTTAACCCACTGCGCCATCAGGGGCGCAGTCTACACGATAACGAATTACATCTAGCAATTTAAGGGGAAATAACATGGGAACCCAGAGCTGCACCACTTGAAAAGAGGCAGCCAGGTCTATGGTGGAGATTACCTTTTTTGATTTCAATGTATTCCATGTTCTCCATGCTACTGGGCTGTCCACTCTCAGGCTCTGCCTGAGTATAAGCTGCTACACCCTCAATCATGGCACAAGGCAGCTCCTCTCCTCCTGTGCTGGTGACATTCAGCTGGATTCCCTCGGCCGTGAGGGCATCGTAGCCAGGCCCAGCAATGATGATGACCTGTGAGCCTTGCACCATGCCCTGCACAGGGCAGTTAGCCACCACCTCACCAAGAGTCTCTTGTGTAACATTCTCGAACAGAGTCCCATGGCCTGAGCTCATCTGCATGGGCACTGGCACGCATACCACAGTTTCCATGGTTTCTGGGCCATTCAGGGGTGAATTGTGGTCCCCATTAGCACCCTGTTCTGCCGTCAGGTTCTCAATATGGTGCTCAAAGGGAATGTGGATACCGTCCTGAGTAATGAGCCCACTGGCACTCCCGCCTTCAGTATTTGCTGGTGGTGCCAATGGCTGCTGGGTCTGGATCTTATGGCTCTCATGTTGTTCCTCTGCGTCAGAACCGGAGCTGTCCTCTGACGAATCGGAGCTTCCAGCCGCTGTCCCATTGGCAACTGCAAAGGGAAAACAAAGGAAAAAACATCAGCAGAAACCTTCTTACTAAAGACAAAGCAGATCAAAATCTACAGCTCTGTTACCCACCAGCATAATCTCCACTGATGCCACTGCCCAGGATTATGCAAATGTCAGCAAAGCAAACAAGCATCTCTTTTCTAAAAACATCTACAAAACTGTAACTACTATTGTTGTTGTTCATTCGTTCAGTCATTTCCAACTCTTCATGACTTCATGGAGCAGCCCACGCCAGAGCTCCCTGTCAGTCATCACCACCTCCAGCTCCTTCAAGGTCAATCCAGTCACTTCAAGGATACCATCCATCCATCTTGCCCTTGGTCGGCCCCTCTTCCTTTTTCCTTCCATTTTCCCCAGTATCATTGTCTTCTTTAAGCTTTTCTGTCTTCTCATGATGTGACCAAAGTACTTCATCTTGGCTTCTACTATCCTTCCCTCCAATGAGCAGTCGGGCTTTATTTCCTGAAGTATGGACTGGTTGGATCTTCTTGCTGTCCAAGGCACTCTCAGAACTTTCCTCCAACACCACAGTTCAAAAGCATCTCTCTTCCTTCGCTCAGCCTTCCCTATGGTCCAGCTCTCACATTAGGTTACTACGGGGAATACCATTGCTTTGACTATGGGATCTTTGTTGCCAGTGTGATGTCTCTACTCTTCTATTTTATCGAGATTGGTCATTGCTCTCCTCCCAAGAAGTAAGCGTCTTCTGATTTCTTGGCTGCAGTCTGCAGTCTGCATTAATCTTTGCACCTAGAAATACAAAGTCTATCACTGCCTCCACGTTTTCTCCCTCTATTTCCCAGCTGTCAATCATTCTTGTTGCCATAATCTTGGTATTTTTTTATGTTTAGCTGCAACCCAGCTTTTGCACTTTCTTCTTTCACCTTGATTAGAAGGCTCCTCAGCTCCTCCTCCCTTTCGGCCATCAAAGTGGTGTCATCTGCATATCTAAGGTTGTTAATGTTTCTTCCAGCAATTTTCACCCCCACCCTCTCAACTATTGTTGAGACATATTTTTATGGGTATTCTCCTCAAATATCTCACAAACATTAAATTGGGGCGGGCACAGTTTAAGTGCAACTGAGGGTGCCAATCCAACTAGCAGAGAATCTTACTGCGAAAAGGTGATTAGAATGCAACCAATGTTCTACTTCGTCACTTAACACTGTTCTCAAGTAAACCCATGCAATAATAATCTGTTCTGGATACATACCACACATCCTCTATCTGTAAGAATCATAATCTAAATCAACAAATCAGGATACTCTTCTTGCAAACAGAAAAAAATTCCCATCACATCATTGCATACTTTAGTAGTGATAAGGGTAAAATCAGTATAAGAAAAATAACTGAAGTTATATCAGGTCTTGAGGTGAGAGGGTCAGTGACTCTTTTAAGGTAAGTTCTCCCCGATAGACTCCTACCTGGCTCACCTGCCCACCCACCCACCAGTGGTTATCCAGAGTCAGGTCACTGATCCCTTCCTTCTTTCCAACTACTCTAAGGAGAAAAACAGGCTGGCTGTGGGTGGAAGAGCTGGAGAAGTCAAGCAAAAGAAATCAGCACTCTCTTGAGCTGCCACTGCAAGAAGGGAGGGGGGGGAGGATCAGTTTTAATGTTTAAACAGATGGAACACTATGTGTGTATGCATGCGTGTATGCAAAGTTGAACTAGAATGGGCAGGCTCAAGATGATGAGATTTCAGCAACCTTTTGGGGCAAATATTTATCACAATTTGGCTAGCCATGTTGCATTCCTCTCCCCTCGTGTGGTGGCTCAAGATGCTCCTGATTTTAATCTTTTGCCTGCTTTCTGATTAGTTCTAAAGTTGTATCCTCAACCTATCCATGGGTCATGCCAAAATCCATGGTTTTGGTCCCCAAGTCTGTTCTCAGCTTATACACAAAGGACATATATGGTCCATATGGTAATATGGTCTCTCTAGACAGCTCTAGGTCCTCCAGCAGAACTCTACTGCCAGCTTTCTTGGAGGCTTACAACAGAATTCTAATGGAGCACTTAGAGATTGTTATGACATTATCACACTATGTAGTTTAGGCCGGGGCCTTTTGAATTCTCAAATACAGAGGTCTTTGCTTTCCCAAACTATATTTCCCAACATTCTAGGCAGCAGAAATGTGGGGTGTGATAACATGGTTAGCGAGGTTTCCTCTCAGATTAGAAACAGAATCTTTTAAATTCAGTTTTTGTACTTTCTTTGGGGCCCTGCCCTACTAACTCTAGCAAATAAAGAGGGCTGACTGTATTTCCTTCCATGATTTCCACTGCCTCACCAAGAAGTGATCTCTCTGCACTTCCTAAGGCTGGCATTGCTGTGTGAATGTGCTTTCCCTACAAAATGTTCTAGATTTCTACATACTCACCATTGTCACACTCATTCTCAGAATCGCTGAGGGGCTTAAGGGGGGAGTGGAGGTCCTGGAAATAGCGGTGTCCTGCTTCGCATTGCCACACAGCTGTAGTGTACATCCCAAAGGTGGGGTCCAACTCTGAGAGGTGGGGCTCGTAGGGGCAGCGGTTCTTATGGTCTTCATACCAGATCACAGTGTTTTTAAGGCAGTTCACATTCCGCCTTCTTCCTTAGGACATGGGACAACGGGGGAAGAAGAGAAGAACTGGAGTTTGAGAAGCACATAATTAAAAGATTAAAATGGCCACAAAGATCTTAAGGCAGAACAAATCATTCATATAAAATCTTTTAAATAAATTTACATTCACGCATTTTAAATGCATGAAAAGCAATAAGGATAATTAATTAAAACAGTCTAGCTGAAATAATGTATTATTTATTTACGACATTTATATGCCGCCCTTCTCACCCTGAAAGGGGACTCAGAGCAGCTTACAAGGTATATATTACATACAATATATTATATTATTAGCACAGTACAATATCAGCATTAAACATTGCTATATTGCACCATACCACTATATGTAATATTATTAGTAAATAAAAAAAAATTATTTTGTAGATGAAATAAAACCTCTACAAAAATGTTGATAATGGAAAGCCCACCGAATGAACACAAAGCTTTTACAAAAAGGAATATACTACTACTCAAACTACCTCAAAATCAATGTATTGCAATAACTCAGTGATATAATATGACACTTGGAGATGCTGCTATGAATTCTTTCCATGCTGTCAGAATCAGTGCACAAGCAAAGATGTCCTCTATTTTTCTTGGAACATTCATCAACTTTGGGTCCACATGGCTAGCTAGAAGAATACCTTTGCCATGATCATACTGACTGCATCTTTCAAGATGTAAACACGAGCATTCATTGGACCATTTCCAATAGCCACCAGAATCTGTACAGCACACATAACAGAGTGATACCAATTCTTTGTATATGATACAATATATGATAAATGAGGCTACATGTTTCATGATGCTAAAAGGGTCATTTATTAGTTTCTAGAATGAATGGAGAAGGCCTACAAGATCTCTAACAACACAATTCTGTTTCAGTATTTAGAAACAAGTCAAACCAAATTTAGTCTGATTTACTCTGCAGAGAACTACTATGAAACTGTAAGTCACTCTGATCTTAGTGGGAGGGAAAAATCCTCCCTATACAAAACTTACAACATTTTGCATGCCAGTTTAGGATTTGCAATTCTCCAATATCACCAGAAATCCTTGATTGAGATCACCATGCAGGCTGTACAGAAAATTATTCAGAAACATCACACATCATTCCAGACTTATCAATAAAAATATATGTACTTACTTTTCTTTCGCTGTGGCTCATATGGCATCTGTTCCCATGGTTTCCTGTAAGTAAAAACAGCAGTTTTATTATTTTATCCCACTTTTCTCCAAGCAGAGGATTCAAGATGGTGCATATTATGGTATTAATTAGACCCCTAGGGACAGATGTAATGGCTTACCTGCCAAAAGAGATATAACGCAAATATGCAAAGATATTTAGTACAAAGGGATATTATTCTTTCAAGCAGTGGCAACTAATGAGTAGCAAATACTTCAAGGTTTAAATATAAGTTTTAAAGAAGCTTTCCAAGTTGCCAAACCATAAACCAGTTCAGCACCCTGGATATTTCCTTCCAAGCAAACATGAAGCTGGCATGGATTCACTACCCCACTGACATAAGGGTTATCAGCTGCCCTTGCTCCGAAATAACTGTGGCTAAGACTACGCCCAGCAGTTTAACCCACTACGCCACAGGAGGCTCCCTAGTAATATATAATATTAATATTGAGTTATGCTAATAATATGATAGATTGTAATATTTATAATAATACTATCCATCCCCACGCATTGCTATGGACCAGTCTATGTATATGTGTTTTGTAGAGCAATAAAACCAAACATGGCACACAAGAATCCCATGACTCCCATGACCAGCAGAAAATACTAGAAAGGTTTGGTGTGCATTGACCTTGAGTTTGGGAGTTGTACTTCATCTACATCCAGAGAGCACTGTGGACTCAAACAATGGTGGATCTGGACCAAACTTGGCACAAATATTCCATATGCTCAAATATGAACACAGTTAGAGTTTGGGGGAAGTAGACCTTGACATCTGGGATTTGTAGTTGCTGGGATTTATAGTTCACCTACAATCAAAGACAGAATTGTGGCAAACTTCCCACACTAAACCCCCATGACCAACAGAAAATACTTAAGGCCATCCAGTCCAACTTCCTTCACCAGGCCAAGAAAACATAATCAAAGCCCTCCTGACAAAGAGCCATCCAGCCATAGATATAAAGGTAAAGGTAAAGGTTTTCCCCTTACATTAAGTCCAGTCATGTCTGACTCTGGGGTGTGGTGCTCATCTCCATTTCTAAGCCGAAGAGCCAGCGTTGTCCACAGACACCTCCAAGGTCATGTGGCCGGTATGACTGCATGGAATGCCATTACCTTCCCGCTGGAGCAGTACCTATTGATCTACTCACATTTGCATGTTTTCGAACTGCTAGGTTGGCAGAAGCTAGAGCTGACAGCGGAAACTCACACCGCTCCCCCAAATTGAACCTGTGACCTTTTGGTCAACAAGCTCAGCAGCTCAGCGCTTTAACCCACTGAGCCACCAGGGGCTCTGGTAGCCATAGATATAGATATATATGATTCACACACACACACAAATATTGTATCATAGATTGGGAAGGGACCCCTAAAGAAGGACAATTATATGTTGAAAGTATTGTCGAAGGCTTTCATGGCCGGAAACACTGGGTTGTTGTAGGTTGGTTTTTTTTTTCCCCTGGGCTATATGGCCATGGTCTAGAGGCATTCTCTCCTGACGTTTCACCTGCATCTATGGCAAGCATCCTCAGAGGTAGTGAGGTCTGTTGGAACTAGGAAAAAGGGTTTATATATCTGTGGAATGACCAGGGTGGGGCAAAGGACTCTTGTCTGCTGGAGCTAGGTGTGAATGTTTCAACCACCTTGACTTGGCCACGGTAGTCCACGCTCTGGTTACATCCCGTATAGACTACTGCAACGCTCTCTACGTGGGGTTGCCTCTGAAGACTGCTCGGAAGCTTCAAATGGTCCAACGAGCGGCAGCCAGGATGCTAACAGGAGCGGCACTCAGGGAGCATACAACTCCTCTGTTGCGCCAGCTCCACTGGCTGCCAATTTGCTACCGGGCACAATTCAAAGTGCTGGCTTTAGCCTTTAAAGCCCTAAACGGTTCTGGCCCGACCTATCTGTCCGAATGCATCTCCTCCTATGAACCAGTTAGGACGTTAAGATCGTTTGGGGAGGCCCTGCTCTCGGTCCCGCCGGCTTCACAAGCACGCCTGGTGGGGACGAGAGACAGGGCCTTCTCAGTAGTGGCCCCTCGGCTGTGGAATGCCCTTCCTACGGACATCAGATCAGCCCCCTCCTTATTGGCATTCCGGAAGAGAGTGAAGACCTGGCTCTTCGAACAGGCTTTCAACTAAGCAGTGCAGTTGATTGATTACTGGAATATGGATTAATGGACAACGAGATTGGATGCTGATTCTACTGATGAGACGTGATGGATTGTTATTTTGCTGTATTGTTGTATTGATGTTTTGATGTTAATTAATTGATATTACCATTTTAAATGACTAATGATTTTGTACTGTGTTGTTGATACTGGTTGTTAACCGCTCTGAGTCACCTGAGGGCTGAGAAGAGCAGTATACAAGTGAAGTAAATAAATAATAAATAATGGCCTGACAGTGCCTGGAGCAAACCTTTGTTGAGAGGTGATTAGATGTCCTTGTTTGTTACCTCTCTGTTGTTGTGCTGTTGTAATTTTAGAGTTTATATTTAGCATGTTCCAGAGTAGGCAAACAGGACACTCTCCACATCAACACTGACAAAGAAACAACAGGAAATACTGTTTACCCACAAGCATAAAGGCATTGCATATATTAGGGCGAACAAATTGAAACTGAATTCAGACAAGACAGAGGTACTCCTAGTTAGTCGAAAGGCCGAACAGGGTATAGGGTTACAGCCTGTGTTGGATGGGGTCGCACTCCCCCTGAAGACGCAGGTTCGCAGCTTGGGTGTGATCCTGGACTCATCGCTGAGCCTGGAACCCCAGGTTTCGGCGGTGACCAGGGGAGCATTCGCACAGTTAAAGCTTGTGCGCCAGCTGCGCCCGTACCTTGGGAAGTCTGACTTGGCCACGGTAGTCCACGCTCTGGTTACATCCCGTCTAGACTACTGCAACGCTCTCTACGTGGGGTTGCCTTTGAAGACGGCTCGGAAGCTCCAGCTAGTCCAACGCTCGGAAGCCATGATACTAACAGGAGTGGAGCGCAGGGAGCATACAACTCCTCTGCTGCACCAGCTCCACTGGCTGCCGATTTGCTACCGGGCTCAATTCAAAATGCTGGCATTGGCCTATAAAGCCCTAAACGGTTCGGGCCCAAGCTACCTATCCAAACGTATCTCTGCCTATGAACCCACCAGGACTCTAAGATCTTCTGGGGAGGCCCTGCTCTCGATCCCGCCTGCATCACAAGCACGGCTGGCGGGGACGAGGGACAGGGCCTTCTCTGTGGTGGCCCCTCGGCTGTGGAACGCCCTTCCCATGGACATTAGATCAGCTCCTACGTTAATGGTGTTTCGAAGAAAACTAAAAACCTGGCTGTTTGAACAGGCATTTGGATAAACAGTGCAATGAATACGATGAATATAGGAACGAAATTATAGACGACGAATTGGATCACGATTCTAGTTACGAGACGTTAATGTGTTGTTATTGATGTGTCATTACTTTGTATATTATGCTCTTAATGGTTTTTAAATTGTATATTGTTATGATTGTCTTTTTGCTCTTGTTGTGAACCGCGTTGAGTCGCCTACGGGCTGAGAAACTGCGGTATACAAGCAAAGTAAATAAATAAATTAGAAACCAACACTTTCTCCTTATTTTCCAGACCACCAGACGCGTGGCAGGGGGCGACTACTAAATAAATAAGTGTTTAAAGCCACAGGCAATGCGGTCGCTGTTGCCCGTTTTTGGTCAAAAAATATTGCGCTGCTTGTGCTCCCTGTACTTTATCATTGTTATACTTTTGATTTATGCGATGCTTTTGCCACGAAATGAATGAATGTATGAATGAACCCCCGTGCAAGTGGGCTGTTTGTGACTCGGGGGCTGTTTGTGTCATGGGAAACGGTGCCCTTGGCCTCTGATCTGCCCTGCTCCCCCCTGCTCGCCCTCCTCACCCTCGGCGCCCGGCCCGCTGCTCCCGCTCCAGCTCCAGCAAATAGGCGGCCAGCTTGGCGTCGCTCCATCCGCTCCGCTGCCGGAGGTCCACCCAGGGCCCGTGCGACTCGCCCAGGTAGACCCGCCGCACGTCGTACTTCTTGCGCGACTCGAGGCGGCGCCGCACCCGGTCGGACTCCGTCAGCCGCGGCCTCCCCCTCGCCTTGCGCCCGCCGCGGCCTTTTCGCCCTCCGCCGGGCGCCGACTCCCCGTCCCCATTCCTTCCAACCTCCTCCTCCTCCTCTTCCTCCTCCTCCTCCTCGTCCTCTCCTTCTTCTTCCTCAGGCTCGCCGCGCGCCGAGTCCCCCATTCCCCGCCCGGTAACCAGGCAACGCACTCTCACCGATGGAGGAGGCCCGTCGAGGGAGGAAGGGGAAGGGGGCGGCGCGCGCTGGTGACGTCACGCGCGGCGTCGCCTCGGTGACGCACACCCGCTTCCGGGTTTCTCCTGACGCGTTCCAGCGTTCTAAACTAGGCCTCTCCAGCCGCTGAGGACTCCAACTCCCTTGAACGAACTGGCGAGGTTTTCTGGGAATTGTTGTTGTTGCTCGTTCAGTCGCCTCCGACTCTTCGTGACTTCATGGACCAGCCCACGCCAGAGCTCCCTGTCGGCCGTCACCACCCCCAGCTCCTTCAAGGTCAGTCCAGTCACTTCAAGGATGCCATCCATCCATCTTGCCCTTGGTCGGCCCCTCTCCCTTTTGCCTTCCACTTTCCCCAGCATCACTGCCTTCTCTAAGCTTTCCTGTCTTCTCATGATGTGGCCAAAGTACTTCAACTTTGTCTCTAGTATCCTTCCCTCCAATGAGCAGTTGGGCTTTATTTCCTGGAGGATGGACTGGTTGGATCTTCTCGCAGTCCAAGGCACTCTCAGAACTTTCCTCCAACACCACAGTTCAAAAGCATCGATCTTCCTTCGCTCAGCCTTCCCGAAGGTCCAGCTCTCACATCCATAGGTGACTACAGGGAATACCATCGCTTTGACTAGGCAGATCTTTGTTAAGGTCTCCTTAAGTCTGAAACTACTTGAAGGCACACAACAGTTTATGACGGGGCCAGGGTAAATGATCTTGGACGACCACATCTAGCCCACAGGTCTTAGTTTGGGGACCCCTGGCCTATAGCATAATTCCTTGGTTGTCCACAATCCAAGTGGTAATTAGTACTAAACCAGTGTAGTTGTTGTTCATTCGTTCAGTCGTCTCTGACTCTTCGTGACTTCATGGACCAGCCCACGCCAGAGCTCCCTGTCGGCTGTCACCACCCCCAGCTCCTTCAAGGTCAGTCCAGTCACTTCAAGGATGCCATCCATCCATCTTGCCCTCGGTCGGCCCCTCTTCCTTTTGCCTTCCATTTTCCCCAGCATCGTTGTCTTCTCAAGGCTTTCCTGTCTCCTCATGATGTGGCCAAAGTACTTCAATTTCTGGGAATTGGAGGCCTGCAAAGCAGACCACTTCCATAAACATGAGGACAAGAGTGCCTTCAAATCGTCTGTCCGGGTTCATAGGGTTTTTCTCAGGCAAGGAGCACTGAGGCCCCTTCCACACAGCTGTATAAGATCCCACATTATCTGCTTTGAACTGGATGATAATAGCAGTGTGGACACAGGACCTTTATTTATTTGGTTTACTTTTACCCCGCCCTTCTCACCCCGAAGGGGACTCAGGGCGGCTTACACATCCAAGGCACAATTCGATGCCCATAACATACCACAGCAATAAAACAAATAAGACAATTTAACAATCAACAACAATACATTCAGAGGTGACCCTAGGTAATTTTCAATGGTAAGCAAACAGTATTTTGCCCCCCCCCCCCCCCCCCAACCAATCACTGATATATATTTTTTGTCGTGGGAGTTCTGTGTGCCATATTTGGTTCAATTCCATCATTGGTGGAGTTCAGAATGCTCTTTGATTTTAGGTGAACTATACATCCCAGTAACTACAACTTGCATATGTCAAAATCTATTTTCCACCAAGAGCGCTTCAAGAGCGCCCCTGGGCAAAATCAACTATACTGCAAACGCTTACTTTGTGTAATTGCTTGAGCCGCCCCTGAATACATTACATCTATACCCGTTAAAACCAATAAAAATTTCATACAAACCGATACAAACCAATTACTCCTTATTGCCGGTCAATGTTCGCTATCTCATAGTTCAGAGTTTCCTTCCACATTTATCCGTCCTGCCGGTCCTGTTTGTCTGGTTGTCCTTACCTAGTTAGCAGATTGCCCGAAGGCCTGGTCCCACAACCACGTCTTTACCCTCCTCCTGAAAGACAGGAGTGATGTCGACGTCCTGATATCCACTGGGAGTGAGTTCCACAGGTGAGGGGCCACCACTGAGAAGGCCCTGCTCCTTGTCCCCACCAGCCTCACTTGGGAAAGCGGTGGGGTTGAGAGCAGGGCCCCGTTGTTGTTCATTCGTTCAGTCGTCTCCGACTCTTTGTGACCTCATGGACCAGCCCACGCCAGAGCTCCCTGTCGGCCGTTACCACCCCCAGCTCCCTCAAGGTCAGTCCAGTCACTTCAAGTCACATTCCGGGGTGGGACGTAGAGGGAAATACGTTTGGACAGATACGCTGGACCGGAACCGTTCAGGGTTTTGTAGGTCAAAACCAGCACCTTGAATTGGGCTCGGAACTGAACCAGCAGCCAGTAGAGCTGACACAGCAGAGGGGTGGTGTGCTCTCTGTATGTCGCCCCGGTGAGCAGCCTGGACCTTTCCACACAGCTGTATAAAATCCTACATTATCTGCTTTGAAAAGAAGCACTGCCTGAACATCAAGCAAAAAGTGGGCGCTAGAAACAATATCATACGAAAGCTGATTGGCACAACCTGGGGATCACAACCAGACACAGTGAAGACATCTGCCCTTGCGCTGCTACTCTGCTGCTGAGTACGCATGCCCAGTGTGGAACACATCTCACCACGCTAAAACAGTGAATGTGGCTCTTAATGAGACATGCCGCATTATCACGGGGTGTCTGCGCCCTACACCACTGGAGAAATTACACTGCTTAGCCGGTATTGCACCACCTGACATCCGCCGAGAAGTAGCCAATAGTGAAAGGACCAAGGCAGAGACATCTCCAGCTCATACCCTGTTTGGGTATCAGCCAGCACGTCAACGACTTAAATCTAGAAATAGTTTTCTAAGATCTACAGAGACACTCGCTGGAACACCTCAGCAAGCGAGAGTCCAAAAGTGGCAGGCTCAAACCCAGAACCTCAACCAATGGCTGATAGCAAATGAGAGACTCCCCCCTGGGCACACAGAAGACTGGGTGACTTGGAAGGCGCTGAACAGACTGCGCTCTGGCACCACGAGATGCAGAGCCAACCTCAAGAAATGGGGCTACAAAGTGGAATCCACTACATGCGAGTGTGGAGAGGAGCAAACCACTGACCACCTGCTGCAATGCACCCTGAGCCCTGCCACATGCACAATGGAGGACCTTCTTGCGGCAACACCAGAGGCACTCCAAGTGGCTAGATACCGGTCAAAGGACATTTAATCAACTACCAAGCTTGCAAACAAAGTGTTTTGTTTGTTTGTTAATAAATGCAATACAACTGTTTTGATTTGCTCCTGACACGATAAATAAATAAATACCTTGAAGAAGATATTCTGTTACAATCCAGAAAAGGAAGCTTGAACATTTTAGCAATTATGAATGTATAGTATCATTTCGTGAGTTTTCTGAGTTTTGTACTTGCTTATTTAGTGTTTGAAATTTAATTTCACATAGATATACAAGACATGTGAGATTTATTATTCCAGCAGTTTTAATACAAAGACCCATTTTCCACCTTTAATAGTGCAACTGCAAGGCTGGAACCAAAGCAGCATATCAGAGAAACATATCGCAAATTTTCTTCCCCAGCACTACCAGCTTTACAGGCAAAAGCTTGCAGGAAAAATAATCATTAATCCCAGCTCAGTTTTAAGGGGAACAAATCTCAGTTCTTTTAGCTGTGAAGACAGCAATGGTAGGCTACAGAAGGATAGTTGTCAAATAATGAACATTTCACTTAGAAGGCTGTTATTTAAAAAGCAGACAGAACTGCAACAGTAGTTATATTCATGAGAAAGTGATGCAAAATAGAAAGCAGGAGGAAAAGCTATCACCTCAGACAACTGAGAGAATAGCAAAGGTGAAAATGTTGTGTACTAAATTCTTGTAATTTTGCTGGTATTAAAGAGGCTCTGCTGGTGCCAGCTAATCTGTGAACAGTCAATATTTAAATCCTGCATTTGAGAAAAGGCATGCCTTGTTTGTGAAAGCAGATTCTCTTGATGCCCCACACTCTGTTAGAATTCAACCTCAAATGACCTAGGTCAGCTGAGGAAAGTATTGCACTAACCACTGGAACTTAAAATACAGTCATTATGTTCTATTCAATATTTTTTATTCCACCATCCAAACTGCTTAAAACTCCTGTTTGAGGCGCTGAGCTTGTGCCATTTCCTCTTCTCTGTTATCATCTGAGTCAGGGCTTGATTGCAGCTCACGAGGCCCCGGCGTTAGGCGGAACACAACCGGTATCTGGCGCAAAATCGGGTTTGTCTCCTGAAGGCCGACAATCCATTTCGCCAAGGTGGCCTGATCCCCTGCCCCTGCCATACACATGGCAAATACAGGGCCCTCCTCAACTATGAGAGGAAGCACAAGAAACAACATTGTTTTCAGGTCAAAAAACACAAACACAAACCCACAGAACAAAACCAAAAGTAGCCCAACAAGAATAACATTAAAAAGTCTGCCTTCATCACAAGCCATGGTTTTAATAACTGTTTTTGATATTTGGTGATGTACTGTTTTTAATATGATTTATGTTTAAATTGTGGTTTTAGTATTGTAGTTGTAAGGCATTGAATTTTTGCCATTATCTTTTTTAAACCGCTTTGAGTCCCCCCAGGGGTGAGAAAAGCGGTATATAAATACTGTACATAAATAAAATAACTCAACAATCAGAATTCATAATACATCATAAAAACAGTTAAAAAACAATTAAAACAATGACATAATAAACAATCAATTACATAACTATAACATCTCTTTAACGTCTCATAGGTAGAATCAATATCCAATCTCATAATCCGTTGTTCCATATTCCTATATTCAATACACTCTCTATTCAAATGCCTGCTCAAATAACCAGGTCTTCACTTTCCTCCAAAATGCTAATACGGAGGGGGGGCGATCTAATTTCTGTAAGAAGGGCGTTCCACCGCCGAGGGACCACCACTGAGAACGCCCTGTCTCTCGTCCCCGCCAGACGTACTTGTGATGCAGGCGGGACTGAGAGCAGGGCCTCGCCAGATGATCTTAATCATACTAAGAATAGTTTTTTCCTGGGTTCCCATTGCTACCAACCAATAAAAAAAGTACTCATAATTATGAAGCTTACCTTCATCAATATCAAATTCCATGTCATCCCACAGGTCCTTTTCCAAATCAATATCCAGATGCATGGGGTAGTAAAAATTCCTCTCTGGGTCAATAATTTCTTCCTTCTGTGAACAGAAAGGAGAGGAGCACACAACTATCTCAATAGTCAACAAAAAAAAATCTGCTGTTTCAAAAAAATCTGCTGTTCACTGTATCTTCATCACCAGTCAAACTCCTGTTAAGCCCCTTCCCACTTCTGCTCCCACAAGTGCAAACCCTTTTTTCTTAGTAATAATGTTTTTAGTTCTTTAGTTTCTGCATATTACAAACAGGTTCATACAGAGCTTTTAGTGAAGAATCTGCTGACAGTATCTGACCTGATATTAGATAAAGAATTACTAGATCTATTCAGTAGGGGTTTAATGTATTGTCTACTGAAAGTGGCTTCTACACTAGAGGCTGGCCTTTGGTTAGCCCTCTTTGCCTCTAGCAATCTATCACAATTGGCTGTGCTAACTAGCGTGTTGCAGTTCAACATTTGGAAGGTCACACGTCTTCTCTCCCAATTCTAGACTGCCAAATTATTTCTTCCTTAATAACTATTATGCACTTTTTGTTGAGCTTTGTACAGTATGGCCCACTCTTACCTACAAATATTTACAAATTTAAAAGAATCATTCAATGCCCCACTTCAAAACTAGAAGTAGAAGTCTGATTTGCTACCTTCTCTGGCACGTTAAATTTAAGGTAATGCAGACTGAGTAGTCCTCATCCAAAATTCTTGACACCAGATGCATTTTGTATTTATTTTTAGATTTTGCAAAAGCCAGATTTCTCACTTGACTTCCACCCCCAATGTCAATTTTTCCACTTTTGCAGGGTAGTTGCACTTCTAATTCCTAAAAAAAGGAGGGGCAACTGTACTTGCAAATATATTATGAGATATCTTGGAAATGATACCCAAGTCTGGAGATACCATTAAGAGTTACTGAACCCACTTTTAGCACTCTTTCTAAAGCAGTAAACATTCTAAAAAGAAAAGTGTTCTGAATAACAGTCCTACTTTCCACATATGTATCTTTTCAAAAGCAAAATTCTTTTCAATTGAAACACACTCAGAATAATAATAAAATAAATAATAATAATAAAACTTTATTTATATCCCGCTCCATCTCCCCCAAGGGGACTCGGTGCGGCTTACATGAGGCCATGCCCATCAGTACATTACAAAATATAATACGAGAACATAATAAAGCCAAAAAATAAAATACATAAATGCAAAACAATATAATAGCAACACAACAATATAAAATCAGACATTAAAACACAAAAGATTTTGCTGGGCAGGGCAAATTCAGGATAAAATTATAAAAAATTTAAACACTGGGAAATAGGACAATGTCAAACATCGGGAGGGGGGTCCAGGGATGAGGAAGAATTTAATTGCACGAACCATAAATAAAGTGCTACTGAGGTCATTTAGTGCAAAGTTTTTCGTCAGGGAGTACCTTTTGTTATAGTACTTCAGCACAGTGATTGTGCAAATCATCCAGCATGATTTGCTGCTACAAACATCCTTTAGTGCCATAGGTGGCAGCTCTGGGATTGTTTATGATTCATCCTCTCACCCTCAACAAACGTTTTTCCTTAGCAAAATAGGCTGGATGTTTCCAAGAGCAGCAATTATAGGTTACAGAGCCCTTAGGATATAATGTAATGTTTTAAAAATGTTTTATCAAAACTAGAATTGGGTTCCCCTTTGGGGAGATAAAGCGGGGTATAAATAAATACATAATAATAATAATAATAATAATAATAATAATAATAATGGAATTGGACTTTCAAAATTCCCTTGTTTTTGACAGCTCATGCAAGTTCCAGAGATAGAAAACTTCCCCAGGAACAATCAAAGTTGCCCACCCCACTAAGGCAGAAAAGAGCATATCATTTACCCTTTCTTCAGGAGGCAACAACTCTGCCCTCAGCACATAGTAATAAACACATGTCTTCTTGAGCCACAAGCGAAATGGACCCTCCACAAAAACAGGCCTGTCTGGATTGTGATGAGCCAAAAGTGACTGCTGGTCAGGGCTCTGAATTCCTAAAAGGGGCAGGGAAGAGAGACAGAGACCACACAGATTATAAACCAAAGGCTCCACACTGTAGTTATAGCAGCACTGGGGGAGAATGAGACCAGCACCTAAGTAAGGAAGTGGTGTTGACACCAGCAATGTTACTTCTACTCCAAAATGCTGAGTAGAACTGCTATATATATAAATAAAAATGTAATGTTCATTTGTGGGATTAACAGAACTCAAAAACCACTGGGGGAATTGACACCAAATTTGGACACGACACCTAACAACCCAATGTATGTCCTTAACTCAAAAATTTTGATTTTGTCATTTGGGAGCTGTAGTTGCTGGGATTTATAGTTCACCTATAATCAAAGAGCATTTTGAACTCCACCAATGATGGAATTGAACCAATATTGGTAGATAGGACTTCCATGACCAACCGAAAACACTAGAAGGGTTTGGTAGGCATTGACCTTGAGTTTGGGAGTTGTAGTTCACCTACATCCAGACAGCACTGTGGACTCAAGCAATGATGAATCTGGACCAAACTCTACATGAATACTCAATATGCCCAAATGTGAACACTGGTGGAATTTGGGGAAAATAGAATCCTGACATTTGGGAGTTGTAGTTACAATCACAGAGCATTCTGAACTCCACCAATGATGGAATTGGGCCAAACCTCCCACACAAAACCCCCATGACCACCAGAGTGGGCCACAGCAACGTGTAGCAGGAGACGGCTAGTCAACTAATAAAAATGGTGAACTTCACATAGCTTGTTTTTGTTTCTTCTGGCTAAGAATACAAAGCAGGCAAAAGGTGTCAGCTAGAAGATTTAAAAGCCAATGATAAACTTTGGCAGATTTCTGACAGATGAACTTTGGAACTTCTAGATTTTCCCAACAAATGCCTCACTTCTCTTCTGGTTACTTATTCCTTCTCTTCCTACTAAAGTAATGTGATGGCAAAAGTGCTAGAAGTTGTCTAAATCTGTAAATTCTTATTTTGATTTCCTGAATGTGATACTTTTCCAATTGTACAACATTGTCATCTGTTTATTTGGCTTTTATTCTGAATTTCTTGAATGAGGTGCTGAGGAGTCAAAGAATTTGGAACATTTCCTTTGAGCAGTAAGATGCTGCATTTGAAAAAATAAGTGGTGGAGAAGATAGGAAGATCACGTAAAGAAAGAAACTTATCATCTTAATCCTATCTAGATTTGTTTATTATATATCACTATTAAGACAAGGAACTTACACCCCTCATTCCCAGAATACAAGATTATTCAATCAAAATAAAGGAAAAGGATGCAAAGAGAGTTAGTACCTACGATGTGTGGATGGTCAATAGATTTACCGGAGTTGGTAATCTCCAGATGAGGCATCTGTAAGGATTAAGACAGTTTCATTACTAACCAAGATTTCATTGTACAACCACAAATAGTCCCCAAATTAAAGACAATACAGTTTAGTTTTATAGCTGTAATGAATCCGAAGCACATCCATCTAATCCAAGCTGAAATATTTCAAATTAAGTCAAAGCACATTTAAAATTAAAAAAAAAAAAGAATTGGAAGAGACAGAAGACCCTTTCATTTCTGGGGCAGGAAAATCTTAAGCCAGTGATTTTTATTTTTTTTTTGGCCATGCCCCACCCAAGCATTTCTAAAATCCTGACGCCCCCAACCAGATAATTCTTATTATTCACAAAATGAACTTTTTTGATATGGAGGAAAAACTGAAAGGCCATTAACTTGGTCTAAACAAACTTCCAAAGAACATGGCACCCATGGGGAAAAAAAGATTGAACCGATTTGAGTAATCTGCATCAAATTCAGGGTAACTTAAGTGTTCAGCTTTATCTTGTGTATTTGGTGAGCATATGTGTGATTATCTTGTGTATTTGGTGAGCATATGTGTGATTATCTGTTTAAAACGTTTGTGGATTCCTGGTTTAACACATCAAAAACTGGGCGTGCAACCTTTTCCTCCTCAAAAAGGGGAGATTCCTAAACCAAGAACAAAACCTTAAGATCCTGCCATCTAAAAGGAACCAACCAGGAGTCCTGTTTGGAATAACACAGTAAGCAAACATTTATAGGGAAGTCAAGGAGAAGCAAACAGTTGTGTACACAAACCCCCACGTCATGCACAAGAAACCACAACTCTCCTGCCATCCTGTGCAAATATGGCCATTATACTTGCATGCATTGTGTGGGCTACAAGGAACAAATCTGTATCTTACTGAGCAACAAGCAAAGATCCTATTTGCATGCCGCTCCTTCGTGAACAGAAGTGTTGCATACATAAACAGCGAAAACAGAATCATACAAATACTCATGCAATTCCTGCACTAAATATTTATGAGACTAAAAATGAAATGGCTCTAGACTTTAGAACAGAATAAACATTTCAGTAGAGTCCAGTTAGGAAAAATAATAATAATGTGGTGAGGTTGGGGTGTGTTTTTCTGTTTTTCCATTTATTTATTTATTTATCTATTTATCTATTTATTTATTTATGTCTGTATTTGTATACTGCCTTTCTCTGCCTGTCGGCGACTCAAGGCGGTTTACAACAAATCAGTACACATAATATCACAATACAAATTGAAATATTAAAACAATATAAAACCAGAAGCAATAAAAATCAACATCATTAACGTCTCCTTGTTAAAAAAAAACTGTCCAATTCCATCGTCTAGTCATTCGGTTTCCTATGTCAGTTACTCTGCATTAGTAAACGCTTGCTCAAACAGCCATGTTTTAACTTTTCTCCGAAACATTAAGAGAGAGGGGGCCAATCTGATATCTGTAGGGAGGGTGTTCCATAGCTGAGGGGCCACCACCAAGAAGGCCACTGACTATGTCATCTCATTCCCTACACTTCAGATTAGAAGCACTAGTGCTACAATGAGCAGCTGGAGCAAAGCGTCCTTTGCCTAAAAGGATACTGAAAACCAATAGTTGTGTTAAACTGCAGCCAGACAAGAGAACTCCCTGAATAATAGGAGAAGAAAATTGACTTACTTGATACACTGTAACCCTGGCATCCAAGTCAGCTGCAATCCTCTGCAGGCTCAGCCTTGCAAGATCAACAGGATCCTGAGGCAGAGGATCTGGGACTGGATAGGGGTTGACGTGCTTGAATTTAGGAAACCAATACATGAGTCTTTGGTATTTCCTCATTGGGTGGCTCTTGTTCCCAAAGATTTGTAACAGCAGCAACTTGGTTTCCTTGTTCGGCATGACACCTTCAGAACAAGAGGAAAGATTAATATTGGAAGAAACTTATTTTGCCGCTCATGATTCGGGGAATTGAACAGGACTTCTGGAACTAGAATCACAAGCTGTAGTTAGGCAACATGGCAGCAGGGGCCAATTTGAACTAGTGAGGATGAGAATGAAAAGTATGGCACCCAGGGTTTTCTTAACATTTAAAACAAAATCTGATATTGTTATATTGCTGGCATGAATAACATAGTATTGCAACTACAGGACTCAACACTTTAATGGATGGGGTTACACTCCCCCTAAAGACGCAGCTTCGCAGCTTGGGAGTGATCCTGGACTCATCGCTGAGCCTGGAACCTCAGGTTTTAGTGGTATCCAGGGGAGCTTTTGCACAGTTAAAACTTGTGTACTTGCTGCGCCTGTACCTTGGGAAGTCTGATCTGGCTACGGTGGTCCACGCTCTGGTTACATCCCGAATAGATTACTGCAACGCGCTCTACATGGGGCTGCCTTTGAAGACAGTTTGGAAACTTCAGCTAGTTCAATGGGCTGCAGTCAGATTACTAACTTAGGTGGCATACAGGGAGCATACCACCCCCCTGCTATGCCAGCTCCACTGGCTGCCGGTCCATCTCCGACCCCAATTCAAAGTGGTGGTTTTGACCTATAAAGCTCTATATGGTTCTGGCCCAGCTTACTTGTTCGAACGCATCCACCCCTATGTCCCACCTCGTGATCTAAGATCATCCGGGGAGGCCCTGCTCTCGCTCCCATCAACAGCACAGATGCGTCAGGCGGGGACGAGAGACAGGGCCTTCTCGGATGTGGCCCCTCGCCTATGAAACACACTCCCAAATGAGGTAAGATCCGCTCCCTCCCTCCTGGCTTTTAGAAAAAAAATTAAAATCATGATTTTAGGACCAGGCCTTCGGGCAGTAGAAGTAAATGTATGCAGCATTTCAGAAAGACAATGACTGGAACGGTGATTCAACGGACGAGACTGTTTTATTGTTTTAATGATTGTTTTATTGCTCATGGATGTATTTTTAAATTTAATTTATGTCTAATTGTAGTGTATAATTGCAATTGTTTGTACTGGCATTGAATTTTTGCCATTACTTATGTGTAAACCGCTTTGAGTCCTCCACGGGGTGAGAAAAGCGGTTTACAAATACTTTAAATAATAAATAATGATGTAATGGCTTTTGTCTACAAAAGTAGAAAGGATTGTGTAATCACCATCTAGGCCTCAAAGTGGTTCCAGGATTTCCTGTGCAATTATCTGCACAGCGGATCCACTTTTTCTATACTGATTTGAAAGTGCATTAAATGGTCAGTACAGATGTGCATCCAGCAATAACAGCATTTATTTATGCAAGGGAAAACCATTATCCTGAACTCAAGCAGATATACATTTCCTATGGATATTACGATGAAGAGACAAAGTTGAAAGACGTTTATTCTATTGCAAAAGGACCAGAATTAAAAGGCTGGGCTACTTAATAATAAATAATAAAACTTTATTTATACCCTGCCACCACCTCCCTAAGGGACTCGGAGAGGCTTGCACGAGGCAAAGCCCAACAACATCAATAAAAACAACAGGGAATAAACAAAATAAACAACACAATTAATATAACTCACACATAGACAATAACACACAAGGATTTAAAAACCTATGGCCGGGCCAGATGTAATAGTTAAAACTTTAAAAAATAAATGCTGGACATGAACAGAGGATGTATCTAGTAGGAGGGTTTTAAATGAAAAGTAAAGAGCTGCTGATCGGGTAATTATTATTATTATTATTATTATTATTAACTTTATTTATACCCCGCAAAATCTCCCGAAGGATTCAATGCGGCTTACAAAGGCCAAGGCCGCCAACAACAACAATATACAAATATAACAGTAAAACTCATAAGCAAATAATAAAACATCAAGCAAAACAATAAAACTCTAAAAACAATGACACTATGATGCATTTAAAACCTAAATTAAAATGCTTCTCAGGAAATTTTTGCAGAGAATTATTTCCTTTATTCGGGGAAGGCACACTGGAACAGCCATGTTTTCAGGCTCCTCGTAAAGACAGCCAATGTGGGGGCTTGTCTGATATCCTTGGGGAACGAGTTCCAGAGTCGGGGGGCCACCACAGAGGAGGCCCTCTCCCTCGTCCCCACCAATCGTGCCTGCGAAGGGGGTGGGAGTGAGAGCAGGGCCTCTCCAGATGATCAAAGAGATTGTGTGGGTTCGTATACAGAAATGTGGTCACGCAGGTAGGCGGGTCCCAAACCGTTCAGAGCTTTGTAGATAAGAACCTGCACCTTGAATTGGGATCGGAAAATGAACGGCATCAGAGAGCAATAATTCTTATTTCTGATTCTTCTACATTCTTGTCAGACAGTTTCAAAAACATAGCAATCTTTCAGAAATAGCAAACAAATGTGGCCCAACACAAAAATAAATACCAACACAAAGTTCTTTATCACAATACAAAATTCCATGAAACTGAACACAACATATATCCTACAACTATCCAATAAAACAAGTCAATCCTTTATTATATGGCAGAGGATTCCAACTTGTGGCCCTCCAGATGTTCTGACTAGTCAGTTTATCTAATGGCCAGGAATTCTGGGAACTGGTAGTGCCAAGATCACCTGGAGGGCCACAAGTCTGACACCACTGCTATGGTGATTTTAACCAAAGTCATGGCCAAGTTCTGCATCCAACCCTTAGGACTATTAAACACAAATTTATTGCTCTGACCACAGTTCTGCTATACCCCACAGAAACCAAAATGATGCCTCGTGGCCCTATTGTACACTTTCTTTCCGTACCTACCATAGTTCTCCATCTGTTCAAGCACCTCAATAGCACATTCCTGCTGTCGTGGATAGTGGTTGAACATCCTCTGGATGAAATTGTGAGGCACAAAAACCTCCTTGGGGAAGACATCCAAGATTTTGTTATAAACATCAATGTCTTTTTCCACACCAAACTCTGGCATCTTCTTCAGGGCTGCATATATAAATTCCACGTGTCCCCTACGGCGGATGTCCCTCTTGCAGAAGATGTTCACAGCTTGCTGGAACGAAGCTCTACTCTTTGCATCCACAGGGGTTCTCTCAAATAATTCTTCCACTGTCACCAAGGAGCGATTAGTGGATTCTTTGCTATTATCTGGGTTGTTCTTGTCAGGAGCGGTGGCAGCACCAAGACCTGTGCTTATGTGAATGCTCCTCACAGGAATTATCCTGGAATTCTAAGACAGAGAAACAAATAAAAATATACGCCTGTTCCAAAAGGACAGCCTTTTTGCTCAAATAGTGACAGACCAAGAGATGGAAGACAGCATCAATTGTGATACCTGCCACAGTGATACTGCCAATCTGCCCTATCAAAAGTCAAACCCACCTGGCCACAGTTCACATTTGACCATTCATCTATCCCTCTTTCCAAGAAAAGAAAGCCAGATCACAATTGTTGCTTTACTGTAACAGCAAAGACTGTGTTTACTACAACATAAACTGTAAACCAATTCCTTCAACAGTGCTCTAAGCATGGACACCATAGGACAAAAGGTCCCAGAAAGTTCCTGTGATACCAAGGCCTGGTCACGATTGTCACAACACCATTCTCTGCGGAAAGCAAGCAGCTTTCCTCATAGTGCAGTGTTTCTCAACCTGGGGGTTGGGACCCCTGGACGGGTCATGAGAGGGTTTCAGAGGGGTCACCAAAGAACATTAGAAAACACATATTTCTGATGGTCTTAAGAATCCCTTGGGCATAGTCATCTGGGTTTACAGTGCTCTCTAGATGTAGGTGAACTACATCTCCCCTAAATCACTGCCAGTTCATCCAAAATCCCTGAAGTATTTTCTGTTGGTTATGGGGGTTCTGTGTGGGACATTTGGCCCATTTCTATCGGTGGTGTGATTCAGAGAGCTCTTTGATTATAGGTGAACTATAAATCCCAGCAACTAGTACAACTCCCAAATGTCAAGATCTATTTTCCCCAAACTCCACCAGTGTTCACATTTGGGCATATTGAGTATCCGTGCCAAGTTTGATCCAGATCTATCATTGTTTGAGTCCACAGTGCTTTCTGGATGCAGATGAACTACAACTCCAAAACTCAAGGTCAATGCTCACCAAACACTTCTAGTATTTTCTGTTGTTCATGTTGTTCTGTGTGCTAAGTTTTGTTCAATTCCATCGTTGGTGCGGTTCAGAATGCTCTTTGATTGTAGGTGAACTATAAATCCCAATAACTACAACTCCCAAATGACAAAATCAATTCTCCCTCCAACCCCACCACTATTGAAATTTGGCATATTCGGTAAGGTAAGGTAAAAGTTTTCCCCTGACATTAAGTCCAGTCGTGTCCAAGACTGGGGGTTGGTGCTCAATTTCTAGGCCGAAGAGCTGGTGTTGTCCATAGACACCTCCAAGTCCATAGAGACCTCCAAGGCCAACATGACTGCATGGAGCTTCGTTATTGGGTATTTGTGCCAAACTTGGTCTAGTGAATGAAAATTCATCTTGCATTTCAGATATTTTCATTATGATTCATAACAATAACACAATTACCGTTAAGAAGTAGCAACGAAAATTATTTTATGGTTGGGTGTCACCACAACATGAGGCGCTGTATTAAGGGGTCGCGGCATTAGGAAGGTTGAGAAACACTGAAATCAAGAGAACTGGCAAGGATACACCATTAGGGTGGAAATTGAGATTGTAGCAAGTAGCAGTCAGCACAGGGTACAAGACATTTGTTTTGGTTACCAAAATGTCTTGGGCGAGACCTCAAAGCACATTATTCAAGGAAAAGCTACCAGGCATTGACACTAAATTGAATTCACCAAATCATAGAATCAAAGAATCAAAGAGCTGGAAGAGACCTCATGGGCCATCCAGTACAACCCCCTGCCAAGAAGCAGGAATATTGCATTCAAATCACCCCTGACAGATGGCCATCCAGCCTCTGTTTAAAAGCTTCCAAAGAAGGAGCCTCCACCACACTCCAGGGCAGAGAGTTCCACTGCTAAACGGCTCTCACAGTCAGGAAGTTCTTCCTCATGTTCAGATGGAATCTCCTTTCTTGTAATTTGAAGCCATTGTTCCGTGTCCTAGTCTCCAGGGAAGCAGAAAACAAGCTTGCTCCCGCCTCCCTGTGGCTTCCTCTCACATATTTATACATGGCTATCATATCTCCTCTCAGCCTTCTCTTCTTTAGGCTAAACATGCCCAGCTCCTTAAGCCGCTCCTCATAGGGCTTGTTCTCCAGACCCTTGATCTATAACAACTGACACATAAATTTGAATAATGTCCACATTTTAATATGATTTTAAAGAGAAGAAATGCTCAAGAAGTCTTACCTGGAGACAGACACCTTTCTGTAGCTGCAGGAGATCCCTCTTAGAAAGGTCCTTTATATGGACAATGCATCTTCCGACAGACAGTTCCCGAGCCAGTAATAATGTCCTCATGCACTTCATGGTGGTCAGCTTGTTATTTCAGAATCATACAGTATAATAAGAGGGAACCGAGGTTGTGGTTGTATCCTGAGACTTTGTGCCACACAAATCACCTACTCCCAAAAACTGAAATGGACAGAAATGTAAGCAAATGAGTTTTCTTAGGAGAAAAAAAAGTCCCTACAACATGACAAACTTTTGGCTTGTTTCTTTCCTCTTCAGGGCCTCTTCTTACAGAAAATATTTGATTTCTATCACAACTGCATGCTAGCATACAGCATATCTTAAAAGCAGAACGCTACGCCATGCACACTCATAGTGGTATGTTCTGAAAATGTGAGGCCAAAAGGCTTTGTTGTTGTTCTCAAACTATTTAGAGACCAACCTATTTTTTTCATGTCAGGAGCAACTTGAGAAACTGCAAGTCACTTCTGATGTGAGAGAATTGGTCATCTGCAAGGACATTGCCCAGGGTACGCCCCGATGTTTTACCACCCTGTGGGAGGCTTCTCTCATGTCCCCGCATGAAAAGCTGAAGCTGACAGATGGGAGCTTATCCCACTCCCGGATTCAAACCACTGACCTTTTGGTCAGCAGTCCTGCGGCACAAGGGTTTAACCTTACTGCACCACCGAGGGCTCCACCAACTTAAATAAGAACAACAGAAAGTAACACAGCCATAATAAAAGAAACAAAAGTTGGCAAGCTGATTTAAAACTAGTAAAGAACGGCAATTGTTATTTTATCATATAGATGGGGCCAGTGACAACTTTGCTTTTGGATAATTCAGCATTATTACATGCATGACATTATTTGTGGCTGTGTGAATAAGGTGTGTGCAAAACAAATTTATTTTGTGTTTACAGACTTGGGCCCCATCTCCAAGATTCCTTATTACTTTATTTGATGCATATTTGATGCATACCGTCTCCCAAAGCAGTTGCTCTACTCCGAACTCAAGAACGGAAAACGGAATGTTGGTGGGCAGGAAAAGAGATTTAAAGATGGGCTCAAAGCCAACCTTAAAAACTCTGGCATAGACACTGAGAACTGGGAAGCCCTGGCCCTTGAGAGCTCCAGCTGGAGGTCAGCTGTGACCAGCAGTGCTGCAGAATTTGAAGAGGCATGAATGGAGGGCGAAAGAGAGAAACGTGCCAAGAGGAAGGCACGTCAAGCCAACCCCAACCGGGACTGCCTTCCACCTGGAAACCAATGCCCTCACTGCGGGAGAAGATGCAGATCAAGAATAGGGCTCCACAGTCACCTACGGACCCACCACCAGTACACCGACCTTGGGAGACTATCCTACTCGGACAATGAGGGATCAACTAGATAAGTAAAATAGATAGGCAGGCTGGAGCTACACTTAAAAACTGTACCTGTTCCGACTGACAAACAAATTCAACTTATTGTCGAAGGCTTTCATGGCTGGAATCACTAGGTTCTTGTGGGGTTTTTTCGGGCTATATGGCCATGTTCTAGAGGCATTTCTCCTGACGTTTCGCCTGCATCTATGGCAAGCATCCTCAGAGGTGAGGTCTGTTGGGACTAATATATTTCACCTCTGAGGATGCTTGCCATAGATGCAGGTGAAATGTCAGGAGAAATGCCTCTAGAACATGGCTCTATAGCCCGAAATCCTCAGAGGTAGTGAGGTCTGTTGGAATTAGGACAATGGGTTTATATATCTGTGGAATGGCTGGGGTGTGGCAAAGAGCTCTTCTCTGCTGGAGCTAGGTGTGAATGTTTCAACTGACCACCTTCATTAGCATTTGAAGGCCTGGCTGAGCCTGGGAAAATCTTTTGTTGAGATGTGTTAAGATGTGCTCTCAACTTAAGAGCAAGCCTACAGAACCTATCTCGTTTGTAACTTGTGGGCTGCCTGTACATGCACATGGAGCATCTAAAGTGTGACCCAATGTTATTACAACAAGCTAGATAAAACATTTACCTCCATGTGTATTACACGTGTGTCGGATTCAGACATTACTTTAAACGTGAGTATGGATGCATCTACACTAGAATTAAGGCAATTCGACTCCACTTTACCTGCTATTGAATCATGTGTACGTTTGGCTTATCTACCAATGGGTACTGTTGCACCACAACTCCCAAGATCCCTTTGCCTTGAGGCATGGCAGTTAAAGTGGTGTCAAACTGCATTAATTCCACAACAGTGTAGATGCAACCTAAGAAAGAGCAAAAGTATGAATAGTCTGTACAACCATCTGCTCTTTTCCTCCCAGAAGAAGCCTGCCAACTCTATCCCCCTTTATATGCCCCCTCCTCCCAATCCCATGGCCTCAGCATTCATCCATGCACACCCACCTCCTCACTGACCTCACCGACTGGGCGCCGCCATCTTGAGACGTCCTGGTTGACGTCACGTCGCGAGGTGTCCAATCAGCGCGAAGGGGAGGCGGAAGCTCCACCCACTAAGAGGGAGTCCTGTTTTGCCTGGAGCTCAGAATGGTCTCTGTGTGTCGCCATGCTTTGGCCCATAAGGGTATCCCCCCCCCCCCCGTTAGATTTCGAAATACCTCTTTTTTGCATATCATAAGATATCCAAGTGATATCATCTGCATATGTAAAGTTGTTAATATTTCTTCCAGCAATTTTTACCCCAGCCTTGCATTCATCAAA